ATACAGAAAAGGTATTTAATAAAGCCCATCACTATTTTTCATAAGAAAAACTCATTAAGATTAAACAGAAGGAAAATTCAATACAATTAAGGAAAGATATTAAAAAAAAAACACCCAGCAGACAACTCTATACTTTAATATCACCAAAATTAAAATCAGGAACCTGTTCTCACTACTACTTTCTATATTGCATTTATTGGAAGTCTTAACCAGGACAGTTCCCAAAAAAACCCATAGAAATAAAAAATAAACAAAATGGAAAAGACAAACTAGAATTATCTCAATTTGCACATAACATGGTCTTATATCTGAAAAAATTTCCAAAGGTGTTTACAAGAAAGCTTCTAGACCTAAAAGAAGATGTCTTATTAACAAAGTAACACGATGCAAGGTATATGCAATGAGAACTCTGAGAAGGAAATTTAAAAAATAATTCTACTTATAATAGCGTCTAATAATAATACGTAAGAATAAATTTTACAGAATATGTGAAAGTTTATATGATGAAAATGAATAAAAACACTTTTGAAAGAGATGAAAGACCTAAAAAATGCAAAGACATCTCTTTGCATGGAAAAGAAGACTTAATAGTATTAAGATGTCAGTACTACTAAAAGTTATCTTAATTATCCTTAGAAAAATTTAAATAGCTCTCTTTACAGAAATGGAAAAAATAATCTTTTTGCTGGCAAGCGGCCTTAAAGAGTTAAAGCAATTTTGAAGAACAGCTACAAAGAAGGATGACTCACACTTCTTCATTTTAAAACATATTGTATAGATTAAGGTGCACCTAATCTAGTCCATGGTCTTCGCAATTACTTGCTATGCATCAGAGAGATAGACAATCAGGATGACAGGAGAAGTGATGCCTTTGAGCTGTGGTGCTGGAGAAAAGTATTGACTATACCATGGACTGCCAAGAGAACAAAAAGTTCTGTTCTGGAGAGAGTGAAACTAGTTCTCTGGAGGCAAGGGTGTTGAAACTCCCTCTCACATACTTTGGGCATGTTGCCAGGAGGGACCAGTCCCTGGAGAAGGAAATTACGTTTGGAAAGGTGGAGGAGAGGAAGATTTGGTTGAGATGGATTGACATAGTGGCTGGGGAAATAGGGGCAGGTGTATTGGACACAGAATGGCTTAGGATAGTAAAGAGTTCAGAGCTATTGTGAGTAGCGTCACTATGCATCACAGGTGACTTGATGGTACATAACAACAACATAGCTACTAAAATAAAAATAGCTTGACAGTGATTTAATAATAGATGCACAAACCCAAGACTCACTGACATCAAGTCTGTTCTGACCCATGATGACTATCAGGTTTCCACAGCTGTAAATCATCGTGAGAGGAGGCTGTCCACCAAAGAGTGGCTGCTGGATTCAAACTGCTGACCTTTCTGCTGGCAGCACAATATGTAATGAACTAGAGTTACAGAGACACAAAGACCATGGAATGGAACAGAACCAAAAGTTCTGAAATAAACGTGTAAATGTCTGGTCAATTGATTTTTTTTTAAACAATTAAACCCTTACTGAATATACAGCTTTTTTGTTCTTTTGCATTTATTCTTTCTTCTTGTTGGCCTTGTGCTGGTTGGCTTACTAAATTTGTATTTTGTTTAACCAAACATTGTTGTTTGTTGTTGTTATGTGCTGTCGAGTCACCTGTGACTCATAGAGACCCTAAGTACAACAGCCCTAAATCCTGCTCTGTCCTGTACCAATATTATTGTCTCCAACACACCTACCCCCATTATAAATAGAGAACTTTAAAAAATATTCTCCCTATCTGGAGAGCATTATGCTGAGTGAACTAACTCAGTCTTGTTGTTGTTGTTATGTGCTGTTTAGACGCTTGTGACTCATGGCAACCCTATGTACAAGAGCCCTAACTCCTGCTTTATCCTGTGTCAACCTCACTGTCTCCAACACACTTATTCTCACCACCTCAATCACTGAATCGATCCATCTCATTGAGGGTCTTCCTCTCCTGCGCTGTCCCTCCACACTCCCAAACATGATGTCCCTCTCCAAGGACTAGTCCCTCCTTGTAGCATGCCCAAAGTATGTCAGACAAAGCTTCAGAATCCTTGATTCCAAAGAGCAGCCTGGCTTCAACTTCTCCAGGACAAACCTGTTTGTTCTCCTAGCAGTTCATGGTATATTCAGCACTCTTCTCCAGCACCACAGCTCAAAGGCATCAATTCTCTATCATCCCTAGTCACTGTCCAACTCTCTGATGCATAACAGACATCTACAAAGACTGTGGCCTGGATCAGGTGCACCTTAGTCTCCAGCCTGATGTCATTGCTCTTCAGTACTCTGGAGAGGTCCCTGACAGCTGACTTTGCCAATGAAATTTGTCTTTTGATTTCCTGGCTTCTGGTACCAAGAGTGCTGACTGTGCAGCCACGCAAACTATTATGTAGTATTTGTCCTTGTAAGACAAATACTACATAATACCATTATTGTAAAAATAGAAGGATAACCAAGAGAGGAAGGAATGGGAGCAGATGAGGGCGGATGGACAGGAGCAAAATCATAGAGTTGCATAATTTGGTGGGTGAAGGGAGGGTCTAAAGGAAATGAGAAAGATCTGTCAAGGATCTGAAAAGAAAGGGTAATCATGGGCATAGTCCAATGATGATTTATTTTATAAAACAGTCCATTGGAATGATATATGAAACACAATGTGAATGAAGAACAGTGTGAAACACAGTGTACATGAACTTCATAAGCAAATAAAAATAAAATAAAATATAAATTTAAAAAATATTTTTTTTTCCAATCTGACTATTATCCTTTAACTTTTTTGGTAAAGTCTTTTGGTGAACCAAAGTAATTTATGTGAGGGCCCATTGATCTGTTTTGTCTTTTGTTGTTCTTATTATGCTTATTATTATGCTTTTCTAATTATGTCAAATAATCTGTTGTTAAAATCCATGCCCCTGTAATTCCTTCTAAGGCAACGATTGTAGTTTTCACATTTAGGTCTTATTTCTTACTAATCTTCCTCAGATTTGTCTTTATACTCTTCTGTGCCTACCACGTTCCCTCACTGCTCATCTCTCTGCTTGTGGTCCCTCAGTTGCACACTCATTCTTTCCTACCCACTCTCATAGGTTCTGTTCTTTAAGGATACACATAAGCCACTCTTCCGTGCAGAACCCATTATGACAACTTTAACCAGTGAAGGTTAATACTTTTCTGGAATAGGTATACCCACAACACACTACATGTAAATATAGGCATAACTTTTAACTAGGTCCCCAGCTGACATAGTTTGTGATCAGCTGCCACCCTAAAGCTCTACAGCTAAGCAAACCCACTCAGCAGCTTCCCAGAAAGGGGGCCTTGCAAACTGTTTCTCTAAGATTACAGTCAGGAGAACGCTATGGGGAAGCTCTACTCTACCATATGTAGAGTCTCTGTGAGTTGGGATCAACTCAACAGCAGCAGGTTTGGTTTTTGTTTTATAATCTTAATACATAGGGAGCTCTAGTGGCCTAGTTGTAAGAGGTGTGTGCTGCTAACACAAAGGCACATGGTTTGTGGTTGTTGTTGATTGCCTTTGAGTCAAGCACGACTCATAGGAACCCTATGAACAGAAGGCTTGATGCCCCTCTACAACTATTAACATTTATCGAAGTTCAAAGCATTTCCAGAGGCATGTTATTTAGGAAGTGGATGCCACTCTTGCTTCATGGTTTGAATCCACCAAATTATTCACAGGAGAAAGAAGTAAACCACACATCCCCTCATGTGTGGTTTCCAGCCTCTGAAAACTCACTGGAGGGTCAGCTAGGTGTTGATTCCAACTCAATGGCACATAACAATTTTTTATTTAAATGATTTGTTTGTTTTATATTGGTTTACTTACAAAGCTCATATACATTGTTTTTCACACTGGATCTTTCTCATTTCCTTTTCTCACCTCTCCTCCCTCCACCCAACAAATTGTGTGACCCTATGATTATAACAAATTTTTATATATAATTTTACTGCTGTAGTTAAACTATAATGTTGTTGTTACGTGCCATCGAGTCACATCTGTTCTTCCTGCTTAGACAATAATTTGCTTAGGGACCAAAGTCCCTAATATTAATTTTTTTTGCATGTGTGTGGTTTTATTTTTGTTTTTATTGGGATTTTAACAAAAGATTATAGAAAAGTTGGGTTTTCATCCATTCATTCATTCATTCATTCACTGTTCCATATTTTCTTCGCTACCCTCCTCAGTTCACTTTAAAAAAATATTCATTCACTCTTGCCTAATTTTCTCCATCCCTTCTCCTCCCCCAATCTACTTTACTATGCACCTCTTTTTCTGGACTATTGTCCTACAAATAATTCCTAATCTTGTTTACTTGCCCACATCAGAGCATGTATTCTGAATTGCATTAAGAGACCAGAATACCATCTGCTGTTCCAGTGGTAAGAATGTATGCTGCAATCTCAAAGGCACTGGGTTCAAATCCACCAGCTGCTCTGTGGGAGAAGGATGATATTTACTCCCATGCGATTTACTGACACTGAAAACCCACTAGAGGGTCAGCTATGGGTTGATTCTGTCTCCAGAGCACACACTACCACCAACAATGAGAAATGCTACCTAGAGCTACCTCCTAATTCAGTTAGGAAACAAAAGAAAGACAGAATGGGAGAAGGGAGAGAGAGAGAGAAAGAAGGAGGGAAATAGATGGATAAACAAATCTTTCCTAAGAAGCAAAGAAAAATTGTTATTAGGAAGGTTTTTACATTGAATTTGATGGCTGAGTCATACATTCCACCTCACATGTCCTGCTTCAGTTAAGCAGCTTATTCAAACTTATATTTAGCTCTATAGCTTATTATTTGATAAAATTATTTGCATAATAACACATCTTACTTTTCACCATTTGTGCACACCAATTCTAAGAACGATACGATTGTACAGGTATACCTCCCAGGTATCTCCAGTGCCACTCGCATAGACATCTTTCCACCCCTAGGGCCACTCACATCATACTTTCAGGATCCACAGCGCAGGCGCCGACTGCTTTCGCGACATTCACAAGAAGAGCTTGGTTTATTCCGACGAGGAGATTCACCAGGGGCTGAATGCCCCCGCATTTCCGGACGAGGACACAGTTTTCATATTCCTGGCAGCACTCGCCTAGTGCTCCAGCCACATTCACAAGTACTTCTTCAGGCTGGTCAGTTAAAAGTTCCACCAAAGTTTCAATGGCTTTGTATTCATGAAATCTAAATTCATCCCCAAAATAGGAGAACAAGAAAGAAGGGGAGTGTTGTTTTTAGTACAATGTTAGCAGATATTAATAGTAGTAACAATAATAAGTAAGCGAATCACTAAATGTCACTTATTTGTTAATTGTTGTGTGCTGTAGAACTGAGGTGGACTGACAGTGGCCTATATGTCACACAGAGACCCCAGGTAACAGAGCAGTACTGCTCCAGAGAGTACCCTTGGCTATAATCCTCGTGGGATTATAACCACAGTGGTTGAGTGTTCAGCTCAAAGAGAGATGGTTTGAACCCAACATACTCTCTGCAGGAGAAAAATGTGACAGTCTGCTTCCATAAAGATGACAGCCCTGGAAACCTTACAGGAAGTTCCGTTCTGTCCTACAATCACTGTGAATCAGGATCAACTCCATGGCAACAGAACCCTACCTTCCAAGGGCTTGAGCTCAGGGCCACCCAATGCACAGCAGTGACCATAGAATTTTCGATGGCTGATTTTCTGACCCACTGAAGCTCCAGTGAAGTCTGTTCAGTATTGGAGCAACAGTCAAGCCTTCACTGACAGTAGTAGCACATAGAGTGCTGAGGCTCGAACCCAGATCTTCCACATGAAAGAGGAGAATCCTACCACTTAACCGCACTGCCCTCACAGAAGTCCAGAAAACCAGTGCCAGGTGATGGGGCTGATATGGCATGTCATTCATTTCTTTTTTTTTTCTATAATTATATTTTATTAATTTTCATAAACATTTACAGAGATTTTGGGTTTCCATTCATTCATTGTTGCACTACATTTCTAAGAATCTCATCGTTAGGCCAACTTAATCTAGAATATGTGCCTATGAAAATTACAGGGGTAATATTCGAATCCACTCTTTTCTTAAAACAGCATTAACTACCAAAGAATGTGTGGTGGTGGCCGTGTTTGTGTTGCAGACTCATCAGTGTCTTCTCTTACTTGGTCACATTCTCTTTGTTGATGGAGCATTTCCATATGGCCCCCGTGACAGCAGCTAAGCGTTCTTTATTGTCCGTTTTACTGAGCAGACTGGCCAATGGTTTCAGTCCTCCATGCAGCCTCACCAGCTCCCTGGTGTCCTCATCTTCAGCACACTGCACAAAAAGTCCGTTAGAGACCATCAGTGACAGAGGGTACCAAGCTCCCAGTGATTGCTAACAAAGATGCTTTGGAAACAGTTATTCAGTGTCTTAACAGAAAATAACATGTCTTCTGAGAGAGCCTCCTAGTAAAAGAGTATTTTTTCTCTCTCACAGTATACTCTGCTGAGTAGTGGTTTGGCACTGTAGTTTCTGCACAACTGGCAGTTCTCCCAAGCCTTTTCTACAACAGCCTGGGTTTCCACAAAGACAGAGGCAGAAGTTAGTAAAATCCTAGCACACGATGTGTATGGGCAGAGTACTTCCCCAGGAAAGCAACTCAGAGTCTCGAGAAAATGTGGAGGAAAATATAGTGGAGTGATAGGGACTCAAAAAGATTTTCAGTGACCCCAGATCTAAGAGATGAAGAATTTCCCCAGTAGCATCTCCGAGCCTCTCAGCATGGTGATTTCTATTAGGAAATCAAACCCACATTTACGGAGTCAGTCCCTACTTGGTGACCCTGTCAGACAGAGTAGAAATTGTCCCGTGTGCTTACCAAAGCTGTAAATCTTTACAGAAGCAGACTGTCACATTTTTCTCTTAAGGAACAGATGTGAATCGATTACCTTTTAATAAGTGAGTTATAATAACAATATTAATTCTATTCTATCATATTAATTTTGTTGTTATGCAACATCCAATAGAGTATGACTCATCGCAACCCCATAAACAACAGGTCTGAACCCTGTCCTATCCTGTACCACTTCATCATCTCGGACATACTTAGCCCACTTCTGCAGTTACGGGGTCAATCCATCTTGTTGAAGTTCTTCCCCTCTTTCACTGACTTTCCACCTTTGCAAGCATGATATCCTTTTCCACAGAATAACCTCTCCTTAGCAATATGCCCTAAGTATTTTATTCAAACACTTGTTTTTGCACATTTGTCCTTTGAAATATTAACTGCATAGATATTTCCTCCCCCAACTGTTGATCCTCCTCAGGTCATAGAATCAATGGATAATTCATTTACTATGTTGTTATTGTTATGCACTGTTGAGTCAACTGATAGCTGACCTTCCAGCAGGTTTTCAGAGGCAGTAAATCACACACAAGGAGCCTGCCTATCTTTCTCCCATCTTGTAGCTTGTGGATTCAAACTGTGTGCCTTTGTGGTGGCTCTGCAGCTCCTCACCACTAAGCCACCATTTGTTGTTATGTACTGTTGAGTCAGAACTAGCTCATAGTTGATCCTCCAATGAGTTTTCAGAGGCAGTAAATCACATGGAAAGAGACTGCCTGTTTTCCTCTCGTGGAGGAGCTGATGGATTCAAACTGTGAGCCTTTAGGTTGGAAGCAGAATTCCTTACCACTATGTCACCAGAAGTTTGACAGTTATCCTTAAGTGCACAGTTATCTCTTGATGTCATGAAACACAAGTGCATGTTATGCAACACTTATGTAGACTGTTAAGAAGACATAGTGCATCAAAAGCACCAGAGATACATGTTCTTCTGCCATGTTTATCTTGTAATGTGTGACTTTCAGTTCTTGTTTAGTTGCAACTTCTAAAAATTAATCATTATTTCCAGTGGATAAGGAGTTAAGCTGCCAACTCAAAGGTACACAGTTCAAATCTATCAGCTACTATTCAGGAGAAAGATGATCAATCTCCTCCTGTGCATTTGATAGCCTCTGAAAACCCTCTGGAGGGTCAGCTATTAATTGATTCTGACTCGATGGCATATAACAACAACCAAATTTCTAAGTGATACTCAGTGGTCACTGATATCGTGTGTACATACACTCCTTTACTGGGAGGAGTAATTTCTCTGATGTGATCTTCCTTGGCTCCCTGTTGCTTATCTCAATCTTAAATGCATACCTCTAGGAAATCTATTCTGATGAGATGGAAGCTGGCACAGTCAGTGACGAGTCATATCCAGGCCATCTTTCCACTTTACCGCTCTAATCTGTCCTCTGGGATTGTATGGAAGTCGTAAGTTACAAGTAATTAATGAAGACTAAGAAAATGGAGCTCTGGTGACATATTGGTAAGAAGCCACACTAAAATCCCAAAGGCATGGAGTTCAAATCAACCATCTGCTCTGCGGAAGAAGGATGGGCAGTCTCCCCTGGTGCCATTTACTATCTCTGAAAACAGGAAAGTAAGCAATGAGTTGCCTCCAACTCCACAGCAAACAACAACAACAAGTAAATTAAAGGTAACATAGGATATATATACACACTCAATCTGATGATTATTGTGTGCAATTCGCCTTCGCTCCTTAGCTGCCTTCAAGGCAGCCTCTGACTCAGGGTGACTCCATGCACGATCTCCTGAAACACTGCCTGGTCCTACATCCACTCATGATTGGTTACAGATCACATGGTTGGGTTTTCACTGACTGATGTTTAGAAGTAAGTCACCAGCTCTTTCTCCCTAGTCTACTTGAGTCTGGAAGCTATGTTTGAAGCCTATTCAGTGTCACAGCAACAGAGGTCTGCTGTGTGGAAGGGTAGAGATTTAACACTATTGTGCCCATGCCCAACAAGTTTAAATGCTATTGTTGTTGTGTTAGGTGCCATCCTACTCAACTATGTCTCATAGTGACCCTATGAGCAACGGATCTGCCCTATCCTGTGCCGTCCTGACCATTTCTGTCATACTCAAGCCCACTGTTCGTCACTGTGTCAGTTCATCTCGTTAAGGGTCTGACACTCAGCCTTTTCCAGGCATGATGTCTTTTTCCTTTGAGTATGTTTTTAAGAAAGGCAAGTCCTTGGAAAAGGACATGATGTTTGTGTTTAAATGTTGTTGTTATTGTGTGCCATCGAGTTGAAATCAACCCATAGAGGACATCCAGCAGATTTTCAGAGGTGGCAAATTGTACCGGAGGAGACTGCTCTTTGTAGAGCAGCTGGTGGATTTGATCCACACGCCTTAGGGGTTGCAGCATAGCTTCTTACCTCTAGGCCACCAGAGTAGGATCTATATTTGTTTCACTATTTTATACTAATTGTTTGAGGTAAAAGACAGAGATAGCTGTGTGAGCTTCTTGTAGAAATGGAATCATCAGACACATCAATGCTGTTTTCTCTCATTATCATAGGGCGGATGTTTTCTCTGTGTGCTTGTTAAAAAGGTGGGTCCCTGAGTCCCATTCTGCATCCATGAAATCACATGTTTAGAAACGCAGCTGTAAACTGTATGAAAGACGCAGTGGCAACTCTGTGCGAGCTCAGCAGACCTGATAGATAGCCATGGCGCAGTGCTCCTGAAGCTCCTCATTCTCACTATTCAGGTTCTTCACAAGGTTTCCAATGATCCGTTCTTCTTTGATTGCAGCGCGGTAGTTTTCCTAGAAATGGAAGTGGTAATATTCATATATGTGCCACACAGGAGCATAAGCACAATCTGTTATAAATAAATTTTAGCATGGATTTGAATAAACAGGTATGCCCCAGCCATCACAGGTTTGGCTCCAGACCACCTAAATAAAGCTAATATCGCAATAAAGTGGGTCACACGATATTTTTAGTTCCTCAGTGCATATATCCATGCTACATGGTAGTAAAGTATGCAACTTTATTATGAAAAAGCTTGAATTATTGTAAGAGTCATCAAAATGTGACAGAGACATGGACTGAGCACATGCTATTTGGAAAATGGTACCCATGAACTTGCTAGACACAGGCTTGCCATAAACTTTCAACTTGTAAAACACAAATGAAAAATTATTTGAAAAGTGCAATAAGGGAAGACTGTTAAAAAGTAGTATATCCTTTAAATCCTTTGAGTGAAGTTTCCTTTTATTACATCAATAACTTCAGAACTTGAACTATTTCAATCCAAATTTTGTTTTTCTTTAGTAAAACAATTACCAAGAATGTGTAAACTTCTAGCAAGTAATATCATAAGTATAATAAAGCCAATGAGAAAAACAGAATGATGGGACTTGAACCTCTGTTATGCTACTTCAACCTTACCCTCAAACTATGTAGACATGAAGGACAATTATCTCTTCTTCCCTCACCCAACATAGCCTCATATAGCACAAGAGTCCAGTCAGTCTATTTGCTAGATGAAAATAGAATGGCATAAGCTTCCTGGTTTGCTTTTGCAGTATATCTTCATACTTCAGAAAATATTTTAACAACTTCTTGATATTCTTTACATGAGGTACGTAAATGTATGTGTTGTGATTTCTATAAATCTCTTACAATGGAGAGAATCTGCAGCTGATTCTTACCATTCAGGACTATCCTAAACTCATATTGCACAGAGTTCAGAGGCCCAGCGAGGTTGTGAGCAGGTTAACATGCTTGCTTTAGTGTCAGTAGCAAATTCATTTGCTTTTTATGGGAAGAAGTGTTCAAGTCAAAAGAGAAACACTACTTATATTATGGGATAATATAAGCCTTTTTCATGGTTCTCTGAATAAATGTCCTCAGTAAAGAAATGCTAACCACCATGTTTAAACTTAACCTACACAACAACATAAAAATTTAGCTGATTAATTAAAAAATGTATCATAGTGGTACTAAATTAATTTTCATCTCATGATTTTCCCCATCTAGTGGAATTCTAACTTTTGAAAAATAAAGAATTTAGCAGATACAATAATCTAACAATTCTTTTTTTTTAAATAAAGTAGCTAAAAAAAAGGAAAAAAATTTTAAAAAAGCATACAAGACTCTATTGTATCATTTCTGACTCTTGGTGAGCCCGATCCATATTGTTTACAAGGCTGATCTTTCAAGGTGTGTCTGGAAAGGTTCAAAACATCAAAAATGATTAACTTTCTGTATCACCTAAGGACTCAAAGACTCAAGTAAGTCCAGGTAAATAAAGGCAAAGGAGGCAGATCTGCCTGGGTACCTCTGATGCACATTCTTGCAGTGTTCCCACCACTGGAATTAGCATGTCTTCATGAGAAGTCTTCAGTAATTGAGCCAGCAAGGGAATGCCTCCAGCTTTGCGAATGGCTTCTTTATTGGCATAACTTTTACTGCAGCTCCATAGTGCCTGTGCGCCACAGCGAGCCACATCCACGTCTGTGGCCTCATAAAGAGATGGTTGAGATGGTTCTGATGAGTTCTGTCTACAGTCGAGTAGAGCGACCTAGAAAAACAACAGGTAGTCACTACATATATATGACCATCTCAAACTAAAACTTCATGCATCCTTCAGTTGCTATAGGGTTACTAATAAGCTCACTTCTGTAAAAAAAAAAAGTATAAACAAAGAGATCTGTTATTGTACTGCATAGCAATGAGTGAGAACGAACAAAGCCTTTTAAGACCTCTAAATCTAGTGAATTTTATTTCCAAGAAGAAATTTAATCTCACTACCCAAACATTCTCTTCTAATCTGGCTCTAATATCTCCATTAATGTCTGGGAGTACAAACAGTTAAGCACACCAAACACTAGTGGTTCAAATGCCCCCAAAGGCTGGTAGTTCAAAACTTCCCAAAGATACTTTAGAACAAAAGCATAAACAAAAAAGAAAGGAAGGGAAAAGCCTAGAGATCTGCTTGCAGAAAAATAGACACTGATGTTCCTAAGTACACCAAACACTGGTGGTTCAAATGCCCCCAAAGGCTGGTAGTTCAAAACTTCCCAAAGATACTTTAAAACAAAAGCATAAACAAAAAAGAAAGAAAGGGAAAGGCCTAGAGATCTGCTTGCAGAAAAATAGACACTGATGTTCCTATGGAGTAAAAAGTTGTATGGTAACACACAAGGTAGCTGTGAGTCAGAGCCAATTCAACAGCAAGTAATTCAATAACTCCATTTGTATTGGTGTAACAAAAAGAAGCTATTGTGGCACTGTGAATTGAGAGTCGGGTCACCAACTGAAAGGCTCAACTCAAAAGTTCTGACACAGAGTGACCCTCCTAATGAGAGGAGACCCTCTGGAAGAGCAGCTGGTGGATTTGAGTCACCAGAAACATAGAGGCTTTTGGTTAGCAATACAACATGTTATGGACTTGGCCACCAGGGCTCCTCTGACTAAGAGGTAGATAGTTCTAAACTACCAACCACAGCTTGGGAGAAAAGATGAGGAATTCTGCTTCAGTAAACCTTGTAACCTTTAGAAACTCTCCAGGGCAGTTCTACTCTTCCTTTTATGGTCCCTAGGAGTTGGAATCCACTTGCCAACAGTGGATATTTGTAAACCACATCTTCTATCCTGGTGTCTCGGAAAACTATCTTCCCTAAAGCCATGTGGAACTTTCTAATGAGAACTGGATGGGCCATTCACTCTTAAAAGTCATGAGAACATTGGGGAAGACACAGCCCACTTCCCAGGCCACCATAGCCAATCAAGCCAGAAGACACAGCTTCCAAGTTCCCTCTTTTCTTTCCAATAATCGAAAGTACTGAAGATCTATGGAAACCAATAATTTACTATAAGGACAACAGTATATCTGACTACTCTTTGGAAGAAGAAAAGCTAGATCTCCCCAGAGCTGGGATTAGACCCATAAAAAGAAGCTGTGAGGCGTGCTGCAGACCCACTTTTCTTATCTTGGAACTAATGAGTCATCATCTATGAACATCCTCTCTATTATTCTCCCTCTATAAAGTTCACTTCATGGAATCTGTCCATTTACCAAGTTTATAATGGAGTACCCCAGACTAAGTAGAAACTCCCCATCCAATCACCAATTCCTAAACAAAAAGATCGATTAAGTCAGATGGTTTATGGACCATATAAGGACAAAATATAGAAATATATGTACCTGTAAGTGTATAACTCATTGGGAAGGTCCTGTGTGATCTCCATGGCCTTCCAATGTCACCTCTTACTATTCAGGTGGCAGACATACCCAGGATCTGGTCACATTAAATCAATTATAACTTCCAAACACAATGCTGTTCCCCAGCTTGGCTCTTACTAAGTCAGGGTCCTCCTCCTGAAGTTATATTCCTTGGTAAATTTGCCTAACACCTACTTTAAAAATAAAAAAAAAAGACTCAACACAATCAGTATCTCATTTCTCCAACTGTTCTTCACTCTCTTCCTCAAAGCTAAACATGTTATATAACCTCCTTTATCTTTTTTGTTTCCCCATCACTTTTTATATGGACTTCAATGAAATACATAAAAAATGCACCATTATACTTATTTTGTCACTTGCATTCCCTCTGTCTTCTCCTCCTACACCACTACATTGTGAGATAGCTGTCCCCAAGGACATCTTTATTAATATTCTGGTTCTAAATATACAGTGTTGATTGGCACTGGTAATTTATAGGTTAACCTATGTGACAGGGCAGAACTGCCTTCAATGATTAAAGACTGCAAGAGCAGGGTTCCTTAGTCACATAATTTTTTTTTAAAAAAAAGCAAAACAACAACAACAAAAAACTACCTCAAACTGATACAAGCACATCCGTGTTCACTGCAGCATCATTTATAATAGAAGAAAAGAATAGAATTTAAAAGAGATGGAAAGAACATGAGTGTCTATCAACAGTCCCATGGTTAAAGAGACTATGGTACATTCACACAGTGGATTATCATACAACACTGAAGAAGGATAAAGACTTTGAGAAACACTGGACAGCATGGAGGAATCTCAAGGAAACTCTGCTGAGTGACAGTCAGTCACAAAAGAACTCTTATAGTATATGTTGTTGTTAGGTACCATCGATCTGAGCTTTGCCCTATCCTGTGTCATGCTCACCATCTCTGCATAAACCCAGTATTTCAGTTACTATGTCAATCCACCTCATTGAGGGTCTTCCTCTCTTTCACTGACCCTTCATCTTTCCAAACATGATGTCAATGTCCAAGGACCAGCCCTTCTGACAAAATGTTCAAAATATCTAACATGAAACTTCACGATCCTTGCTTCCATTCTTTCTGCTTATAGAAGAAAATTTTTATTTTAAAAGATAAGGGAAGACTTATACACAGAATCATTCTTGGATGGTTACCAGTAAAGGGAAGGTAAAAGGGAGTGAAAATTAGTAAAGAGAGAAAGTGGGTGAAGAGTTAGGCAATATATAGTAAGTGATCAGACACAGACACTGTGATTTATTAATTATAATTAATGGTATAAAACAAAATGCCTATGAATGATTGAATGAAAAACCAATATGATTTGTAAACTTTCAAAATGCTTTTTAAAAATATTTTTAAGTTAAACTTTTTTTAATAAAAAAAAAATTAACTTTGGAAAACTATCAACAACAAAATAGTCACAGCCATCAATCCAATTTCAACTCATAGCGACCCTCCATAGAGTCTTCAAGGCCATACATCTTTATTGGAAGAGACGTGAAGCACCACCTTTTTGTTTAGCAGCCTGCCACGCTACACAGTGCCACACTAGGGCTCCTTAAACAAACAGCCTTATTCAAGTCTGCCAGGAGCTCTGCTGGCCTAGTGGTAAAAGGCTGCACTGCCATTCAAAAGGCACATGATTTGAATCCACCAGTTGCTCTGCAGGGAGGAAAAAAAGATGGGCAATTTCTTATATCATCAAACTGCCTCTGAAAATCCACTGGAGTTACGTCATCTTTGAAGTGGGTTCCGACTTGATGGTATGCAGCAACAGAGTCGGCCAGATTAAAATGTCAGGATTGCTATGGATACAAGGGAATGTGGAAACTAGTCACAGAAAAAATAGCACTATTGTGTGCAAATAATCACCCCTTGCCTGGAGCATGTTGTGTGTTCAAACCTCTGGGCCTCCAGCATGTTTCTCCAGGTACTGTCTTCCATCAAAGTGCTACTAAATTGGCCTATGTCTTCCATCTGAGAATGACCTCTGCTCATTTGTCCTGAATTGTCACGGACCCACTGCACCAACTCATCTGTTTCTGGATTACCCTCCTTTCTAGTATAGTTGGGGGTCTCCTGCTTATACGCCATCTAGCCCCCATGCCTAGGAAACCCAAACAGAATTTTAATCCTGATCCTTCCTAGACATGTTTTCAGCTACCAATTATTGTTGTTGTTGTTATGTACTGTTGAGTCTGAACCAAACCAAAGCTGACTCTCCAGTGGGTTTTCAGAGGCAGCTAATCACAGGAGAGGAGATTGTCCATCCTCCTTCCTCAGAGAAGTCGGTGGATTTGATCTGCATGGCTTCGGGATTGCAGCAGAGCTTCTTACCACGAGGCCACCAGTGCTCCCTCAGCTACCAATTAGAAGCCTATTATTTACTGTATTGGGCTTTCTGTCCCTAAATTAGGTATCATTAAAAATTATAATAAAATGTTGTTACTATCTTCTTAACTGATGATATAGTTGTTGTTAGATGTTCTCTAGTCAATTCCAGATTCTATGAAAAAAACAGATCAGAGTCTTGACTCAGCCTGTGCCATCATCATGATCTCCACCAAGCTCAGGCCGTTTGGTCCAGGCATTGTCCATCTATTTTGTAGGTGGTCTTTCTCTCTTTCATTGGCTCTCCGTTTTTCAAACATGATAGTCTTTCCCAAGGACTGGTGTCTCTGGCAACACGCCCAAAGAATGTGAGATAAAATGTCACAAACCTTGCATCTTAAAAATACTCTGGTTGCACTTCCTCCAAGACAGATTTGGCAAGCCATTATTTATTCCGTAGTCTTCATCAATAGCACAAATCAAAGGCAGTAATTCTTCAAGAGCTCTAGTCACCCAGTTGTGAGGAGTTGTGCTACCAACTCAGTGGTAGGTAGTTTGAATGCCCCAGCTGCTTTACAAAAGAAGGTTAAGCAATCTCTTCTCATGTGATTTATAGCTTCTGAAAATGCACCGGAGGGTCAGTTATACATCTATTCTGGTTCAACTGTACATAACAACAATTCTTTTTCATCTTTATTTCCTGTTCAATTTTCACACACATAGAAAGCAACGGAAAATATTATGGGTTGAGTCAGGCATTTCTTCCTCTTTAAATTGAAATTCTTGCTCTTTTGCATTTTAAAGGGTTCCTTGACAGCAGATAAGCCCAGTGCTGCATATCTTTTGATTTCTTGACTGCTTCTGCTGTGAGTGTTGATAGTGGATTCAAGTTAAATGAAATCTTTAATAACACCAGTCTTTTTATCCATCAATGACAATGGTACTTATTGGCGCACATGTGAGGATTTTTGTTTTCTTGAAAGTGAGGTGTAATCCATAGGGAAGGCTGCCATTTCACAGTAGCTTTAGGAAGTACTTCAAGTCGTCTTCACTTTCTGCAAACAACATTGTGTAATCACACACGCTGGCATAACATAGGTTGTTGATGAATCTTCCTCCAATCCTGATGCTGTATTCTTCATATATCCCAGCTTCCTAATTTATTTACATGGCACACATATAGAATAGGTACGGAGAAGTGTAATTATCCCAGTACTAAGGTACCAAATACCACATGGTCCAAAACCAGAAAAGGAGATTGTCAGCGATTTGTCCTGTCTCCAGACCTTTTCAATCTCTAGGCAGAACAGATCATTTGAGAGGCTGGACTTTATGAGGATGAATATGACATCAGGATTGGAGGAAGACTCATCAACAACCTGTGTTATGCTGATGACATAACCTTACTTGTTGAAACAGAAGAGGGCCTGAAGCATTTGCTGCAGAGTGTCAAGGACTGTAGTTTGGAATATGGACTGAAGCTCAACATCAAAAAGACAAAGATTCTCACCACTGGGCCAATTGGCAGCATCAAGATAGATAGCTTTCTCAATTCTACAATCAACACTCTAGGCACTGTTGTTGTTGTGTATCCCTGAGTCAGAACCGACCCATAGCTGACCCTCCAGTGGGTTTTCAGAGGCAATTAATGGCACAGGAGGAGATTGCCCATCCTTTTCCGGAGGAGCAGATTGTAGATTTGAACTGCATGCCTTTGGGATTGCAACACAGCTTCTTGCCACTAGGCCACCAATGCAGTCAGGAAATCAAAAGATTAATTGCATTATGAAAATCTGCTGTCCAGGACTCTCTAGGATACTGAAGAGCAAGGAAGTAAGTTTAGAGACTAAGGTGTACCTGATCAGGGCTGTGGTCTTCACAGATACTTGCTATGCTTCAGAGAGCTGGCCAGTGACTAAGGATGACAGAAGAAGAATTGATGTCTTTGAAGTGTGATGTCGGAGAAGAGTATTGAACATATTGTGGACTGCCAAGAGAATTAACATGTCTGTCCTGGAGGGGGGGAAGCCAAGCTGCTCCATGGAAGCAAGGATTTGAGACTCCATCATACATAATCTGGGCATACAGCAAGGGGGGATTGGACCTTGAAGAAGGACATCATGCTTGGACAGGTGGAGGGACAGAGCAGAAGAGGAAGATCCCGGAAGAGATGGAGTGACACTGTAACTGGGTTAATGACGGTAGGTATGTCACAGTCAGTCAGACTGGTTCAGGATAGAGCAGGGTTCAGAGCTGTTGTGCACAAGATTGCTATGAGTTACAGTTGACTCAATGACCCATAACAACAACAACAAGGGTCTCAGACGTGAAGCATGTTGTTATTAGTTGCAATAGAAGAAATTCTAATTCATGACAACTCCATATATGCATCTCATAAAAAACATGCTTTGTGTTTTGTGTCAGAAAGTAGATTCTAATTCATAGTGCCCCTATGTACAACAAAACTAAACCCTGCCCAATTCTGTGCCATCTTCACAGTATCTGTTTTGCTTCAACAAATATAAGAAAAATTAGTGATCATTACATTAGACAAAACCATTGTCAACAATTTTCTTTCTAACTTATTTTCTATCTACTAGAATTTTAATAACATTAAATGTGGCACACTTTACTTGTTACTAAATATTCTCCAAAGTACACAGTGACTGTGGTGATGGGGGCAGGCATGTCAGCGAGAATGGCGATAAGGCAGGGTTCAGAGCTATTACATAGGGTCATTAGCTCGACGGCACACAAGTAAAACAACACCTAAATATTTCTCCTGATTACAGATATATTGCAAATTTACTTAGCTCAACTCCTGAAAACATGCAGGCTGTTTTCAGTCCTCACTTTCATAACTAGCAATGAGATTATTCAGTTTGTCTCTGCAGCTCTGACTGCGTGTTATAGGTAATGATAGCTCACAGTGTGAGAGCTGCATCAGAAAGCATAGGTGCTACACAGCTAGTGATAACAGAGATGACCAGCTGCTTCCCAGGGAGCAGGTTCTCATCGCCCTATCGCCAACATTGCATGAGTGTGTGTCTGCACACACACATAGATCTCTATCTGGGTGAGGAGAGTGAACAAATCAATCTTAGAGCAAACATGCCTATAATGTTCCCAAGACTTGAGAGTAGCTTTGGCTTGTTTACTGTGCACATATTGCTCCACAATTTAACTAAAATCATTGCTGTCAGAACCAACTCATAACTGGCCCTCTAGCATGTTTCAAAAGCTGTAAATTGCATGGGAAGAGATTGCCTACCTTTCTCCCTCAGAGATTCTGGTGGATTAGAACCAGAGAAGCCTGGTTGTTGGGTTATCAGGACAATACCCTAGGACTGGGTACCTTTTGGACATGTCATTAAGGGAGACCAATCTCTCATAAAGAGGCCTTGTATGTGGTCAAGTGGAGTCAGCAGAAATGAAGGAACTGCTCTATGACAGAATGATACAATAGCCACAACAATGACCCCAAATATACCAATAATCGTGGATGTGACACAGATGGACAGTATTTTGTTCTGCTATTCATGGGTCACCATCAGTTGGACTGCCACTGCTTTCGAGTTTATTCTGACTCATGGTGACCCCCTGCATTTCCAGGCAGAACTGTTCCATAGTTTTCCTGGCTGGGATTATATGGAAGCACAACCAGGCTACAACTTCTAGAGTAGTAGTTGAACGCAAACTAGTTTCACTGCTCAGGGACACTCAGCCACAAGCAAATAAACAAAAGTTATATTTAATAGATCTTTAAAGTGATACAAGAAAAAGAGTACTAGCATACACGCTGGTGGCTTTGTCATGTCTGGGGATGTGTGGGAAGGACAGCAGAGAGCAGACTTCTGTCAGCGTTACTCACCAGCTTGGTGATACCTCCATGTTGTCTCACTGCCCGACGGGCACGTCTAAACTTCGCAACATTAGCAATTGTTTCAGCAGCCAAGCACTTCAGGCTCTTGTTTGGAGAATCAAGTATGCTAACCATAACTGGTAAGCCCCCAAGGTCAACAATATTACGTCGGATTTGAGGATTGTGACTGATTTCCTTCAGAATTTTTAATGACCCAATCTAAACAAGAAAAGGTTGTATGTGAATGAATGCTTAATATATAACTAGTGCTGTATATACAGATTTTTTTTTTTAATCCAAGCCTTCCAAAAATCTTTGCCAGTTAAGTTTTTAAGAAATTGCCTCAGTTTTCGGGTGGCCAAACATCCTGTACTTTTTCTATCAATCATATAAATAAAAAATCATTGATAAAGTGTGAGATGAGTGGAAAAGAACAAGAGACAGGAGTAAAGCAAAAGAGAAAGAACAGCTAAGAGATTGATTATCAGTAATAATACCAGATAAATAAACAGCAAAGAATGGCAGCAAACTAGAGTCAAAGGGATGCCCCCCAAAAGAAGCAGGAGTAAGACATCCATTGTGACAAAGCCACTCACCTTGCATTTGAGTTCATCAGTATCCAGTAAATTTATTAAAACTTCAAGGCCTCCAACATCCCTGATGGCCAGCTGGCAGGTCTCTTGAGCTAAGTTGAAATCCCTCAGTGAACACAAGGCAATCACTGTTACTGTCTGATTTCCTCCCTACAAAGACACAAAACCAGAGAAAAGTCAAATAAGATCACATGCCCATAGAAACTTATAAAATGGTAATGAGTCTGTGAATTTGGAAATGTATTTATTTCCCTGTATGTGGCTCATTGATTTTAACTTCTCGGCGTAGGCTATAATTTGTTAATTGAATCACACAGAGTTGAAGAGTGAAAAGGCTGTAGAATATGTCATACAACATTCTTTCAGTTAAGGGTCAACACTGAAAGTTGGTCTGTCCGGTTTAAAGAGCTACCACACTAGGTGGTATTACTGTATTAGGTAGAGTTGAGGGACATGCCTTGAAGGATTGACTGAGGCATTCCAGCTTTGTATAAAGTTGACAGTGTACTTGCACTGAGCAGTGTGCTTACAGGAGAGGAGTCTGAACACTTCTCACAGATGTGTACAGGGGAGTTTGCAGCAGGGAGAACCTGAATAAAGAGAAACTGCGTGGAAAGGAACAATCCAGAGCAGGATCTAGAGTAGGCTGACTAAGCAGTAGGGGTTTGAAAAAGGAATCAACTCCAGAAGAACCTGGAGATGAACTGGATGGGCAGAATAGGAGGTGGGATGGAGTGGGGAGAATATTTCAATGTTTTGAGCTATAGTTTGTCTCAGCTTAGGGTCATAACGTTGTTTTGTCTTATCATGTGTAAAAGATTAGGATGAGCTATATCTTTTAGATGAAAAGAAATAAAAAGTTTATAAAAAAATTTAAAAAGTGAGTACCAGTCATTGGCTAGTGCTACCCTGCCCATCCTGAACCCCTTTTACAAACTATTTTTCCTAATAAACTTCTTTCTTTCTTTGTTGTTGTTGTTATGTGCTATCAAGTTACAAGTGACTCATAGCGATCCGGTATACAACAGCTCTGAAATGTGCCCTGTTCTGAGCCAGTCTCACTGACTCCAACACACCTATCCATCTTGCTCCAGTTAATTGTATCAGTCCAACTCATCCACAGTCTTCCTCTCCTGAGCTGTCTCTCCACCCTTCTCCAAGAACCAGTCCCTTCCTTGTGTCCATTGGTGTAAATTCACCAGTGGCTCTGCAGGAGAAAGATAGGCAATCTCCTTCTGTCACAATTTCCAGCCTCAGAAACCCCAGGTCACTATGAGTCAGAACTGAGTCAACGGCAGTGTGTTTGAGTCTGCTGCTAGCACTGTATTTTCTTTGGTATCAAGATTCTACTTATAGAAGCAGAATCTTTGCTCCTATCGCAAATCTTTTAATTTTTTCCTAAACTTCATAATTTTACAAATTTTATTTCATTATTTACCACATAACAAATGTACAATTTTTTAAAGCTTTGCATCATATCCCTACAATTTCAAATTTTATGTTGTTCTGAATTATCTCCAGGACAAATATGAAGTCAAAGGATTGAAATGTTATATTTCTCATTGAGAAATCAGATGCTTTTAGGGGGAAAATTTGTAAATCATCCATTTTTTTTTCCTGAAAAATTTAAAATATATTCATAGCTGTAGGGATTTTTTCTTTTTTTTTTTTAGAAGAGTTTTATATTAGGGAAAGTTAGTTTTTCCACATTTCAGGATTTAGTTCTACTCTTGTCACTGACCACACTCCCAAAAGGATTATAAATCTTTCAGAATGAATACCAGAGATCAAGAGCCAAAATATTTGACATACAGAGCCACAAATGTTAGCCAATTGCTATTCTTTAAATACCAGCCGTATGTTAAAGGATTCTTGAATCTTCATTCTACTTTGTCCACATGTCATAAACATCTAACTGAAGTGAAGCAGTGCAAATAATGCTCCTTTTTCAATTAACCCTCTCTGAAAAGTCAATTAGTTGCCAATACTTATTTTCACATTCTATCGCACATTTGCATTTGTGGAGTTTTAAGAGCTGGAGAAAACACAGTAAAATATTCTTTTACTGGCTGCTTAAGAGTTTTGAGGAAAGCTTTCATAAGCTTTTCCATTTCTTAAATTAATACAATTCTTTTGCTGGGCACCTTCTTGCTCCTGCTTCTTCTCAAATGTCTCTAGAGACTGCTGGCTCCAAAGTTTTTGCAGCTCGCATTCCAGTCTCCAATCAAGAGACATTTGTTCGTTGTCACCACAGCTTCAAACTTGCAAGGGCTGGATGACTGTTGCTTCTCCCCTTTCCCTCAATACTTCTTATTAAAGGAGGAGAGGAAAGGAAGAGGCTTTTTGAAATAGCATTTTTCATCACCTTAAAGGAAATCTTTGGCATATAGAGCATTACTTTGCCTAGTATACAAAGTAATACCCTCTTGACCTGTGCGAATCATAACAAAGTGTGGCTAACATTGAGAAGAATGGGAATCCCAGAACACTTTAATTGTGCTAATACAAAATCTTTACCTAGACCAAGAACTTGTGGTCTGAACGGAGCAAGGGGCACACTGCATGGTTTAAAATCAGGAAGGTGTGCGTCACAGCTATATCCTTTCTCCAAACCTATTTTGATGTTAGATAAGAGTGTTGAATATCTCATGGACTTCCTAAAAAAAATATGTCTTGGAGAAGGTACACCCAGAGTGCTCCTTCTAGGTAAGGATGATAAAGCTTTGCATTTTATACATTGGATATATAGTTAGATGAAGCTATTCCTTGGAAAGGGACACATATTTGGAAAGATGGAGGGTAAGTGAAAGAAAGGAAAACCATTAATGACATGGATTGACACAGTGATTTCAGCATTGGGCTGTAGTGTGTCAGAGATGATGATAGCACAGGATAGGGTGAGGTTCAATTTGATTGTTCATAGGGTCACTATGAGTCATGCTCAAGGAGATGCCACCTAACAACAACAAAAACCATTTACAAGAAGTGGGCTCTGGTGGCCTTGTGGTAAGAAGCGGCACTGAAATCCCAAAGGCATGCGGTTCAAATCCGTCAGCTGCTCCATGGGAGAAATGCATAATCTCCTTCTGTGATTACACTGCTTCTGGAAACCTGCTTGACAGTCAGCTACTATGACTTCAATCCAGCTTGATGGCCCACAACATCACCTCAATTTACAAGAAGGTAGAAATAAGCCCTAATGAAATTGAGTTCAAAACAAACAAAAACCAACAACAAAAACTAAATTGAGTGGAGAAGACAGTGAGACTAGACTTCATTGTACATACTTTGGGCGTGCTATTAGGAGGTTCCTGGACAGAGACACCCTACTTGGTAGATGATCAGGAAAAATAAGGCAAACTCTTGGCATGATAGCTTGACACAATGACGGCAACAGGCACTGAGAAGAGGGTGGAGGACAGGGCGGAGTTTTGTTCTGTTGGACAAAGGATCACTATGAGCACGGTCAACATGATGGCACCCAACGAGACCATCTAAGAACCTTTTACTGAAGATAATATTGATCTTCATTTTCCTAAAATCTACACCATCAGGTTGAGTTGAAAGGCCCCTGGTGATGAGTTGCTTAAGCACTTGGCTGTCAACAAAAAGGTGGTCGGTTTGAACCCACCCAGGGACTAAAAGATGAAAAGACTTAATGACTTGCTCCTCACAAGACAACTGCTTAAACCACCTTGTGGATCAGTTGTACTCTGCCACATGGCATCACCATGAGCTGATGCATTCTTAGTAACACTTAGCAACAAGTTGAGATGAAGAATATATTCAATGTGAAAGCAGGGTGAAAGCTGCTAGAACTCTTCGTAGTAGTAGTAGTAGTAGTAGTAGTAGTAGTAGTAGTCTGTTCAGTGCATTGATTGCATATTATTATCTGCCAAGTTGATGCTATGCAGTATAGACATTCTAGTTAAACAAGGACATTTAAAAACTGTGGTCTTTTTCTTGATACAGCTTACAAGCTGGCAGAGTAGAAAGATCTTCATGTTCTTTCTCTTATTAGCTACTGCTTACTCTCCTCCAGAATGTTGTAATCAATCATTTGATTACACTGTCTAACGGATGGTTAAACTAGATGGCTTTTTAAAAAACATTTTATTGTGCTTTGAGTGAAAGGTTACAAAGAATATTATTTTCCATTAAATCATTTATCTACATTTTGCTTTATGACATTAATCTCAATTCCCACACTTTAACAGCATGCTTCCCTCTTACCTGTAATTCTCATTGCTATTCATTGATTTAATCCGACCCTTTCCTGCCTTCAGAGCTTTCTCCCTGGGCAAGTGCTGGACTTTGAATTGTGTATGATTGATTGTTCTAAGGAGTGGACACCTCCCTGCCATTACTGTTCACCTTATAAGCCCATCTATTGCTTGCCTGAAATTTGAGCCACAATGCACGTTTCATTTGGGGCTCAAAAGATGACTAACGGTTATAGTCTTGAGATCTCCACAAGCTTGGCCATTTTTGTGATTTTGAATTTTATTCCACATTTTCCTCCCATTGTGTCCAGGACCCTCTCCCTTGATCCCTTTTAGAGTTGTTATCAGGTGTAGCAGGGCACCATCTAGTCCCCAGGGTAGCAGAAGCTGACGTTTATGTGGTCCATTATTTTGGACTAATTGTCTCTGATTTTTTTTTTCCTTCTTTGTTCCAAAACAGGAGACGCCAATATATTTCAAGAATCCAGTTCCTACTTGCCGAAGTAGATTTTAGACACTCTCTTTGTGGATTTTGCTATACCAATTGAACTTTGATGTCCCTCAAGGCTAAGGTTCAGAGACGCAAGGGCTAGAAACCCTTTCCCTCAGGGTGTTTGGTTATGATATTAATACGATTTGGTTACAACTTGAGTTTTGGCATCGAGTACTGACCAATTCACAGCTGACCCTCCTGTAGTTTCCAAGGTTGTGAATCACATGGGAAGAGAATACTTATCTATCTCCCACAGAATAGCTTTTGAATTAGCATCGCAACTCTTATTAGATTATGTCACCAGAGCTCCCTTTGGTTATGATTCAAGAAACTCAAACTCTGGCCCTTGATCCAGAGCCAACTGATAGCTGATCCTGCAGCAGGTTTTTGGGAGGTAGTGAATCCAGTGGGGAAAAACTGCTCATCATTCTCCT